GCTGCAAAGCTCCATATGATCCCATTTATAGCTGGTTTTGTTGTGTTTTTTGGGAGGTTGGGGTTTTTTTTTGGTTGGTTCGTTGTTTTTAATAGGACTATCTCGGCATTTCACCCTTCAAATCTGGACTTTTTGCAAACACACAGAGATATTTACTGTCCCTCTGTATGGTACCAAGATACCAAGTGTGATGGAGGTTTACTGAGAACATAATTTGCTTTCCAAAATAAGGCGGTAATGACAATGTCAGCCTTGTTTGAGGAGTCATTATTGCATTCAGAGCTTAGCAGTTTCCCATTTAGCTGCCCGTCTCTTGCTTACTGGAGGTTCAGAACTGTCACTCAGGCACATGGAGGGTGACAGATGACGCAGGAGCTTATTTTGTTGTGAAGGATCTAGCTATTATATTTGTGCAGTCCTGGGGGCATTTGGGAAAAGCTGGAGATTACTCCACTGGCTGCACAAGGACTCTTGCTATCTTCTTCCTTTGGTAGCTGCACTGGTCAGTTCAGCACAGGAGAAGTCTAAGGGGACAGGAACTGAAGGGGAGAGAAACAGGGGCTCAACAGAAAGGGTACTGCATGAGGAAGTAGGTGGGTAGAAAGAACTGCATGAAAAGAAATACCAATCAGCAGTTCAGAACTTTTACTGTTGTTTGGTGCATAGTCAAAAGGTAAGAACTTTGAGTTTCCTAGAGAACCAGGAGGATTTGGCAGGTGAATAGAGAAATCTGGGGTTTAGGATGAGGATTATATCTTTGTTTAGCTCCCTTCCAGTGCTCCAAGAGTAAAAAGGATCTGTTCAATGAATGTGTGGGGTTTGGTTTTTTCCTTTTATTTTTTTTTCCTTCTTCCTTAAATGTACCACACAGTTACTTTAATTGCTGTAAATGGAATTACTATTGCCAGGAACAAAGGTGGACATTCTGTTTTCTTGTGGTCTCTGGAGAGTCATAGAATCATAGAATCATTATGGTTGGAAGAGACCTCAAAGATCATCAAGTCCAACCGTATACCTGATGCCACCCTGTCCCCTAAACCATGTCTTGAAGTACCATATCTAAACATTTTTTGAACACCTCCAGGGACGATGACTCCACCACCTCCCTGGGGAGCCCGTTCCAATGCCTAACGACTCTAACAGTGAAGAAGTTCTTTCTAATGTCCAGCCTGAACCTCCCCTGGCGCAACTTGAGACCGTTTCCTCTTGTCCTATCGCTAATTACCGGGGAGAAGAGACAACCGCCGCCTGTTTACAACCTCCTTTCAGGTCGTTGTAGAGGGCAATGAGGTCTCCCCTCAGCCTCCTCTTCTCCAGGCTAAACAACCCCAGCTCCCTCAGCCGCTCCTCGTAAGGCTTTTTCTCCAGGCCCTTCACCAGCTTTGTTGCCCTTCTCTGAAATGCTCCAGCAGCTCAATGTCCTTCATATAGTGAGGGGCCCAAAACTGGACACACCACTCTTAAGAGTCACACCACTCTTAAATGCTCTGATCTTGTTTTGAATCTCTCTCACTGGAAGGATTTTCTCAACAGCAGAGATCTTTCCAGGCAGCTCTATGGGAACAATGGGAGAAAGGGGACTTACCTGTGTCTCACTGTCAGTGCTGACTGCTGCTGCCAGGGAAAAGGACCAAAATCTCTGCAGGTGATTGGAAGGAGTCCCTCAAAGAGGAGGGAGAGAGGTTTTTAGCACACAAAACATTTTCCTGCAGCAGCTCTTTTAAACACGGAGGAAACTTTTAAAAAAACTAGCTCTCAAGATGGGGATCCACGAGAAAGAAACTTGTCCTTTCTTCTATTGCTAGCTTATAGTGCAACCTTGGACAAGTCTTGTAACTCTTCTGTGCCTCTGTTTATCTTTGTAAGATAAAATACTCTATTTGTAGAATAGGTAATTATAGTTGTGTAATATGGAAACTTCAGCGGTTGGATGCAAGTTGCAAAGTTGGCCCTTTCACTTTTTGCTTCTGCAGAAGTTGAGAAGAGAAATCACAGCTCCACATGATAATGTTTCTTTCTCTCAGACCCTGTCTGCTAAAATTTCATGGTGTCCAACTTTGTTTCTTCATTCTCTACTTTGTCTCCTCTTCTGTCCTCTTACGACAAATACGAAACCTGTCTGGTTCCGTACGCAGTGAAGTGCATGTGTTTTTCCAGCAGTCAGGTTTCTAGTCCAGCTCTGATCAGCCTTGACCGTGCTCCCTGTGCTTGACTTGTGTATATTGCAATATGTGTGTTTTGGACTTGGAGACTCACTAAGCAAAGAGCTCTTCTGGGAGCATCAGAAATTCATTCAGCACATCTAAGGGAGAGGCAGCACTAGAAGGAGGCACCGGCCCTCGTGAGGCTTTTTGACAAGCCTCTTTTTTTTTTTTTTTTTTACTTTCTGTGACTAACTTTGGATAAAA